CATTTTCATTACGTCTTTTGTAAAAATAAGATAATATTCTTGATCCTCGAACAAAGCAGAATCGAATGGTATATTATACGAATATAGAAAAAGAAAAAAATAATTAGTCTTGACTCCTCCTATAAAATAAAAAACTCAGAAACAATTTCGCAAACCTATCTATTTTTTTCTTTGGAAAGATGGAGCAGATTTTTGCACTTCATTGAAACCGCCATTAAACGAGCTTTATAAGTACATACCTTTCTTTCTTCCATCGTGCTTTGTCATAGAGAAAGTTCATATTTTCAAGATCAGAGGAGCAAAAATCGGAATTCTGCCGGTATTCTCAATTTTAATCATCGGGAATCAAGTTTTATGCAATAAAAATATCATATTCGGAACCAGCGTCCCAAACTACATCGAATGATATATATTTCGAAACTTTTTGTTTATTTTTATTTTTTGATGAAAATCTCAGAAATTTTTCGATGTAGAAATTTGACAAAAATCAAAGTAGTCAGATAGACTAACAAAGTACATCATCCGATGTAGTTTGGGACGCTGGTTCCGAATATGATATTTTTATTGAATAAAACTTGATTCCCGATGATTGAAATTGAGAATACCGGTAGAATTTTTTGCTCTAAATATACATATAACCGATGATACTGATTTCGAATATCAGTCCTTTTTGCCCAAATGGCTCATAAGATTCAGTTTTCCAGTGAAACCTGAGTTTTCGGCAAAAATATATTTCAATAAAATTCGTTTCTGATTTAACGGGTTTGTAGAGCATGTCGAATTAGCTATAAGAAAAAGTTTTTATCGTTAGCCGACACGATCTTATCGGGCTAAAGCAAAGCTTTCAAATCTTCAGCACTTATTTTCCCTACTTGCATTCAGCGAGAAAATTTTTGAAATTTCACAGCTTGGCCAGATCTTGTTGAGTAGTGACCAACATTTTTTCTTATACTTAACTCGACATGCTCTACAATATGGCGTAATCCAAAATGAGTTTTATCGAAGAATAGTTTTGCTGAAAAGCCTCACAGTGTCTAGTTCGACAATTCCGTGGAAATTACTAGAACTGGCAGAATTCGACACATTCAAAGTGTACTGTTCCGAAGATTCTGGCTGAATTCCAATAGAATTTCAGTTCTGGTTCTGACCAGAATTGGATCAGATTCTGGCAAAATTACAGCAGAATTGAACCATAATCCGCCAATTCGACAGACGATCTGTAGAGAGTTACAATAGTTCACACTCAAATCCTCTCTATGAATTGGCAGATGCTGGTTCAATTCTGCCAGAATCTGGTCTAATTCTGGTAGAATTTAAGATTCTCTGAGTTCTAACCAGAATTAGACCCGATTCTGGCAGAATTACAGCAGAATTGAACTAGAATCTGCCAATTTGTAGAGAGGATCTGGGTGTGAAGTATTGTAACTCTCTACAGATCGTCTACAAATTGGCAGATTCTGGTTCAATTCTACTGTTATTCTGTCAGATTCAGGATGAATTCTGGAAGGAGCAGAACTGGAGTTGTGTAGAAATGTGGAGGGGGGTGGAGGTGAGGTGCATGAGAGTGAGTAGCGATACTGTGAATTCTGCCAATTCTGGAATTTTACACGGGACTGTGGAAGTTGACACCACTCATTCATAGATGGCCAAGCACAGAATTTATTCCGAGAGTCGTTTTGCGCGTAGAACTATGTTCCAAGAGTCAAGCGGTTTGTACTGAGTTACACGCAAAAAACTGTGATACATTTGAGGAGGTTCCTTGTAAGAATGACTTCTAGAATCAACATTTCAGAACATTTTCAAATACGTCTAATATTTCATGATTGTCTTAAAAGACTGTGAACTCTGAAGGTTGATTAATGGATTTCTCAACGTTTCTTCCGTCGGATTTTTAGAAAGTTTTCACTCAATATTCTTCGCTTTTGTGTACAACCGTACAATTGTACCAGTTGTTCTGTTGAGTTGCACAAGTGCTTGTTTGCAAGTACAATAAATCATATTAATGTTTTCTTCTCTATCTAATTTCAGTCACTTCAATCAACTCATTATGTTAATGTATTAAAACAAGCTCAACGTTTATTTCAATTATTATTTAGTTTATTTCAAATACACAAATATTTCGTTGATATTTATTATCAAACAATTCATAAATGTTTAGAAAATAATAACAGCAACAATAGCAATAACGATATGTTTAATGCTGCACTGCAACAAATTGCTTCACATTTATCACAAATTAACAATTATTATGGCAATGATAAAGAACGACAACAGCAACGGCAGAAACTCCTTGAAATTGCAAAACATACAATTGATAAATATAACAACGGCAGTTCGGTATTACCATCGTCAATTAGAGAAATTTTAACAACAATTGAATCATTTTTAAAACAGTCTGCTACCGACAAGGACAAGAACAATAATGCATCAATATTAAAATCATTGAATTTACTATATCCATTTACAAGTCGTTGGTTAGAAGTTCATCGTGAATTTCGTGATTGTACACAATATTTTATTGATGGTGATTCACTACTACTAACCGTTTCACATTATTCAAATGTTAATCTAAATGAATATTATGGTCACACATTACATGTTATCCATATTATTGAACGTATATTATTAACATTATTTAATCAATCAAATGAAACAAATTATTATATTCTATTTTTTGATGATTTAAAAAATAAACTTAGCAATAGTAATAATTCAATATTATATTTATTAAGACAATGTTTAATTGAACATATTCAATCAAATATGCGTTCTTCAACAACAAAACTTCGTTTATTCACTTCATTTTTATCAGAAGAGTATACTACATTTTATACAGAAGAAAAACCACTATTTATATTTTATACTGATATAACATCATCATTTTCAAATAGTTTATTATTAACAAAGAATGAAATTGAACAGTTAACTATTTACTATCGTTATTTTGTTAATTATCATCAATATTATATTAAATGTGGATTATATTTAACGAATAAAATGAAATTAGCTGATACAAGTGTACAATGTTTTAGAATTTCATATGAAAAAGCAATGTTTAATTATGCATATAAAAAAGCAACTTGTAATGTTGAAAACACAAGATGATTATAAAGTATATTTGAATACGTTAAGAATGATATCAGAAAAATTAAATGATCAAAAATTGATTCAATTATGTAATGATATAGGACATGGTGATAGTCGATTATATTTCTATCAATTCACCATAATGCTTATGTATAAAACAAAAAAGGTACTGTGCTGGAAGAAAACACTCACATAAGTGAATAAAGTTAGGTTCGGATTAATAATGCCCGCCACGAAAGACGCCCTTTTTTCAGGAATTCCACTGATGCGCACCGCGTGCCCGTACATTCATACTTTGTGGCTTAATCTGACTATCGAACGTTTGAGTGATAGATTTATTTATACAAACATTCCCAAATTTTCTTCAGAATCTAAAGATTACGCTGGTAAGGGAGAATTCGATCCCCTCCGGAAGGCCATGGCGCCACCCGCTCCCTCCCGCCCTTAGTTGCCAGTTAGTTTATATAATATTTGAGACTACAACGATATCCTGACCTTGCATCTGTTGGGATATCGGAGTTTCATTAAAAGGAAGTACATTTTAATGAAATTCTTGTTTCCTCAAAAACTCAAGGTCACAGTCACTTTGCAGGAGTCTGTCTATTCAAACGAACGAGTGTCAGATTAAACCACTAAGTATGGATGCACGAGTGTCCGGCGCGTGTCGGTGGTATTCCTGGGAAAAAGATATCTTTTATGGACTCATTAATAATGTTTCACACAGGAGAAATTGCGTGATCATTTTAGATATAGTAAAACGCCTAACAGCCTTCCCATTAGCAGTTCTCAACATTTCGTACTACTGCATATCAGTCCTATCTAAAAATTTCACAAATAAGCAAATGGCTTTGACTAGATTGGACAGTGTGCTGATCATCACCGTGACAATGTTTTCCACGTAGTATGAAAAAAGTTTATATAAGTTATTCAAAAATGGTCTAAATATCTCAAATTCTGAAAATAATAAGAATATTTTGTTTATCACTTCTTCCGATTTGATCACCAAATGTAAATGTGATTTCATTAACAGTTTAGCAAGTACGACTTGATTCAATACCTACAGAAAGGTAATCACATAGGAATGGCTCCAACAACTTTGATAGATCGGAGCGGCATCTGGTTCCCGGCTCAGATCCGTAGAAACTTTAATTAGGCCGATCCAGGCCCAACAACTCCTGGAGCAGATGTGCATCAGTCTATACTACCTGTCCTATACAACACATACCATAGATTGAGTTGAAAAAAGCAGCAGAGCAACTGTAGGTAAAGGATAAATTGTTAAAATTTAAAATTTATTTTAAAAATTGAAATTTTGAGCTGGAGACTTGCTTTTTCAAAATTGTTTATCATTGAACGCGAAATCCGAATATGTTATCAAAAATCAACGTCCAGTTTTTTTGGAAACCCTTTTTACTTGGCTCAGATAGCCCAAAAACCAGGGTTGTCTGGAAACCCTACTTCAGAGCATTTTCGACAGAACTTTTCGCTGAACAAATTAAAGAGCACATCGAGAAACCCTTATAAACCAAAAGACCACTGATTGCATCATTGCTGATTGAGATAGCCTAGACAACTTTCTCGTGTAGCACACCTGTTGAATACCAAAGCATCCCACCGCCTAACAGTACTCCGAACAGCAGACGGTATTTGCAGAAAAATGGCTCCTCTTGTTTTGTATAAACAATACGCCAATGCACATGACTAACAACGACCTATAATGACAACGACGAAAATAACCTGAAAAAAATACCATGCTAAAATTCTTTTGAATATTGATTGACAAAAGTGCATGCCATGATTTTAAAAGAACAGTGTAATTGCTGTTTGTCAAGAGAATGTTTGAATGAATATTCTTCCTTTTCTTGCTTCAAATTATTCTTTTCTAAGAGAAAAACAGCCAATATATTCACCTTCTAAAAAGTAATAAAAGTTTCTAAAGAAAATATTCTCTTTAGAAATAAATAAGAAAGTGCCTAATGAGATAGGAATTAAAGTGTGTCAAACAGAAGGGAAAGAGAACTAAAATAGAATTCGATACATAACATATTCTGGCGCATAGTCTCAATCATAAAAAAAGCGAAATTATGAGGCATCTACGGTTATTACTGTTCTTTTCGTTTTTCGTTTTATACTACGCTATATCATCATTAAAAAACTCAATTCCAAATGCGATCTTGAACATATGTGAAACATTAGACTATGGATTAAACGAGAACGAGGAAGTTGAGGAGAGTAAATGGCGAGTTTTGTGTAATGAAATAATGTCGAGGGAAGAGACTGCTTCGAAACGGCTAACGGATCATGATGAAGAGGATGAAATTGAACGTGAGTAAACATTTTATATCCAAAAGCCAAACTTCAATCAGCATAATTCAATAACCCAGAAGCGTCCAAACTAGTTCTACCAGTCTAGACTGCCTTAATGATTTTCTTTTTGTGTAAGAATGACTCATAAACTAAAAGAATAAGAGGTGCAAGAAGAGAAATACTTCAACTTGTGATGCCCATTCACAGTGTATGGTGTTGACATAAACTTTTCAGTTTCAGGTAGTTTGATATCTTTCCTGCAGCAGACAATCTTAGAAGATGGCCATACACACCTTAATTAACTATTAATCATAGCTCTGAATGCAAAAAGGCAGCTTGATGCAGAGTTCTTTCCTTCGGTCGCTTGTGAGCTCAGTAACAAGATCTTAGCTTTTCTGAAAGCCTGAGCAACTATGATTGTACATCACAACGTAGAAAGTATACTGTCGAGCGAGCAATCCGCGGCATATGAACATCAGTAACTTGCGCAAAGTTATAGATAACCCCCCTCTTTCTTGAAAAAATTTCAGATTTTGAGCTGAGCATAGCCTGATGTAGAGGAAAATGTGGGCTACAAAATGAGACCACTCCCAGCACCCCACGACCTTTCTTCAAAAAGTGATGAGTTTTTGAAGTTTTTCCGTCAAGCCTAAAAAAACTCAGTTGTTTAGTTTCATAAACTTTGCTCTCCTTTTCTGTACATTTGAAAATTTTCTTTCACATGATCTGATAGCAGAAAGTGTTCTCTTCATAATGAGACGCTTTCCAGAATTATCCGATGAGTTTTCGTGGAGACATAAGCATTACGGCAAATGCCCTGAAAACAATGCCCTATCCCATGAGGACTTTAACTATCGGGCGATATAACTCGATATTAGTGGAAAAATTGGGAATATCACGATACTTATCCTATTTATTGCGATAAATTCACTATCGAGATCTATAGATCTACTTTGATATGTCATGCTATATACGTTATCGGAATAAGCTTGCTACCTATTGTGATAAAAACTGGTGTTTCAATATAGCTACTGTCTGTACCAAAATAGAATGGACTCCGTTGTTTTTTTAATAACTTTTGATAGAAGCCAGCTAGAGAGCTCCGGCTTCCGCCATAAGAAAGCGGAGACTTGGGGGCATGTTTTCGTAAGCAGAAACTTTTTCAGAAGTGTTTTGTAAAACAGCTTTTCTAGGAGATCTTTGAAAAACCAGGTCGCGTGTAAAAACTTTTTAATAGGATTGTATTGATTTTCCTCCATGGTCTGATAGTCCAAGGTGTCTTCTTCAAAATGAGAGCAGAGCGAAATCTTGATTTTCTGCGGCTCTAGTGTTGTGTCGGATTTCCTACGAGTCCCAGGACTGGCACCCAGTGACCATTGGTAATCTTGAAAACGGATGGACTATAGGTAATCGATCATGCTGAGTCTCGTGGCAGTAGTTATTTCTAGAAAAAGTTCTAAAAATCTATCGAAAAGCCAGTTTTACGAATATTTGGGTTTCCCGGCTGTTTTCACCTAATATTAAAAGATTCACTATTCGCTCAATAAACATCAGAACGAGTTCAAAACTTCAGGATATGATTAATTTTCTCCGCGAAACATGATTATAAGACCGAAAATTCGAAAAAGCATATTTTGGTTATTGGGTTTTCTAGAAAAACTTTTGTTAAATAAAGGGGTTTAAGAAAGGGTTTTGTAAAATTTCTTTTGAGATCTCCGATAAATAGGATATAGAATAGCTTAAAAGCTCTACATTCTGAAAATTTGAACTCGTTCTGATGTTTATTGAGCGAATAGTGAATCTTTTAATATAACCAATCTGGATGTCTACCACTTGTACTTGGCACGTTTATCAACCAACGAACAAACCACAAGTATCCCTAGAAATTCTCGAAAACTTCCCAAATATGTTTGAAAGAACGATAGATTTACTACATAAAACATCATTTAGCTTAAACAACACTTGATTACATAATTATGTTTGACTATATGCAAAAAAAATATTCTTTTGAATGTATTATCATCACAAACGTTGACTGCAAACATTCGCCTTATACTTATGAGATAGACGTTTTGAGTGTTTAAAAACTTTTCTTCGGAGCATATCTTTTCTCTCTTAGAGCGTGACGTAAGCCTCGTTTCTGACGAAGGGCAAAACGCTTTTTTCTTCGATCGCCTCCATAGTCGCCTCCATAGTCGCCTCCATAGTCGCCTCCATAGTCCGGATATGAGGGTGGATCAGGATACGACGGTGGATCTGGGTATGACGGCGTATCTTCAGGAGGATCGGTATAGTCAACTGGAGCAGTCGTGACTTCTACTGGAGCAGTCGTGAATTCTACTGGAGCAGTCGTGAATTCTACTGGAGCAGTTGTGGATTCTACTAGAGCAGTTGTGGATTCTACTGGAGGAGTCGTGGATACTGGAGGAGTCGTGGATACTGGAGGAGTCGTGGATTCTACTGTAGTAGTCGTTGGTGTTGCAGTGGTTCGTTTTACAGTGGCTGGTTTTGCAGTGGTTCGTTGTACAGTGGTTGGTTTTGCAGTGCTTTGTTTTAAAGTGGTTGGTTTTGCAGTGGTTGGTTTTGTAGTGGTTGATGTTACAGTCGTTAGTTTTACAGTGGTTGGTGTTACAGTGGTTTGTTTTACAGTGGTTGGTGTTACGGTGGTTAGTTTTACATTGGTTAGCTTTACAGTGGTTGGTGTTACAGTGGTTGGTGTTACAGTGGTTTGTTTTACAGTGGTTTGTTTTACAGTGGTTTGTTTTACAGTGGTTGGTGTTACGGTGGTTAGTTTTACAGTGGTTGGTCTTACAGTGGTTAGTTTTACAGTGGTTGGTTTTACACTGCTTGATTGCGTAGTTCGGCTTGAAGTTTGTGTAGTGTCACCCGACGCAATACATTGATAATCTAAATTGCAACGTGTTGATTTCACTTGCGTACACCATGCAGAGTTTCTTAGTTCATTGGCAGCTGTCTTCCAAGCTTTTGTTTGAAGTGCGGCTTTCATCTTCGTGAACTGGTTCAATGTGGCACAACCTGCAAACGCAACATCGATGAGTCCTGCTTTGACTATCGATGGTAATCCTGAAACATATTTTTCAACACATGCTGTAGCTTCCGCATATGACCCGCTATTAAATATTTCTGCAGCCTGATTTTGCAGCAAGCAATTATGTTTAGTGTTGTGTACACAGTCATTCAAAACTGTTGAAAGAATCAAACCATAACGTTTCAAGACCGACGCTGCATCTGATCGTTGCAAATTAAAACCGTAACCAATTGTGGGTATATGTTTTGTATCGTAATAACAGCATAGTTTTAGACCTTCGTTTTGCATTGTTTGAGCAGGACCACATGTCGACAACACCGTTCGGATTATTGTTAGTATACATACAAGTTTCGCGACGTGTAGTTCCATGACCTCTATAGAATAAAAGATGGTCGGAAGGAGGCTTCAATTTTGTTGACTAAATATCTAGAAAAACACTTTTTTTTCACAGGTTTTTATGAAAAACTTAAGAAACCTTGTTATGTCACGTACTAGAGTCGTGACATAAGTCAGAAGATCATACTCAAAGTTATTGCGCAAGAATATATTCAAGGTTATTGCGCAGAGCCTAGTCAAGGTTATTGCGCAGAGTCTAAATAAACGTTAGGTGAGAAAGATCTTAGTTCATCCGGGAACCTAACAAACCTACGTACGGATATTAAATATGTATCTGTCAAGACTAATGCAATTTTCAACACTCAGATTACAGGACACTGACAGCAGATAAGGTTCAACTTACAAAAGCTTATGTATACATTTATATTGATTGTATTTTTTGCGGAATCTGCAAGCTAATCGATGTGATTTAATTAACGCACAGATAATCTATCATAATGTTTTACGAGAGAAATGCAACGGATTGTTACCAGCCGGGAGTAATACATGGCTTAGTAGAACAGTTACTTTATGGATCACTTATGCTTTTAGTTTTTTTTCTTTGCTCTCTCCTTACCCTGTTTTTGTGTTTTTGCAAATTATATCAAATGATGAAAACTACAATTTATTCGCTAAGAAGAAAAAGGAAATGATTTGCATTTTATCTTCGAGAATATACCCATGATATTCGGTTCTGAAGTGATTGTATAGAAACTTTAAAGAAAAACAGTCTGCATCATCATTTGTGTACTCTACTCTATAGGCATAACGAATAAAAGAAAATATTTTTACAAACTATTTTTGTGAACAAACTTGCATCATTTGCTTTCAAAAGCTATTTGTTTTAATGCTTGAATGTATAAGAATCAATCTTATTCACTTTTCAAGATCAACATAATTGTGCGCGCAAATCATTTTGATCAACAGAAATAATATCTTTAGTGCTCGAAATTATGCCTATTCAATTTATGTTAAAAACATCGTGCTTGGTCAACTGAAAAATAGAAACCAAAACACATTTTTCGACAGGTCTATGTAAAAAGTTGATCATATGCGCAGAATTATAAGTAATGTATTTGTTGCTCTTATTGTCAAACTCTACGACTCCAGCATAAAAACACGACCAGGCCTTAATACAACTTCTTCGCTCATCCCTGAAGAGAAATGGTGTAATTCTCAACTTTCTCCATCAGAACTCAACTTTTATGCAATAAAAATACCATATTCGGAGTCAGGATCCAAAACTGAGTCGACTTTTGTGTATTTCTATGCTATGCGACTACTTTAACTTTTTCCAATTTTCATGTTGAAAAATTAAACAAAAGTTTTACGTAAGCGTACTTTCGAAAGCTGGGTTGGCAAAAAAACTCTTGTTAACCAAGAAAAAACAATATTTATACCATACTCGGAAATAAAAATAAAAGCAAATATTACAGCTCCATACTCAATATTAAAACCTGATACTAATTTACTTTCCCCTTCGGCAAAAAATAATGGACTATGATTAGTTTCAACTAAAATAATTATCAATCAAATAACAAATACATCCAATAAGTAAACCCTATTAAAATTAATACTAATAAAAGATCAAGAATTATTACTGTTACCACGTCTAATCTATCTTGAACTAATCTGTGTTTGTCTATGGACGGTATCTTACTAGTTATCAATTGAAATCTATCAGCATCACACACGATTATGTCTGTATTATGTACAAACGTTTTCTCATTTATTTTTGAAATGGTATATGTTATTGATGTCATTTTATATAAAGCGCTATATAATTTATTATTTCTTAGTGCCTGTTTGCTGATATTTGAATGATTGTAAATGTTAGGAGGATATGGGTGATTTTCTCCGCTAAACCTGATTACAGGATCGAAAAAATCGAAAAAGCATATTTGGGTTAATGGGTTTTCCAGACACCCTTTTGGAAAACCTTAGGGTTTTGTAAACTTTTTTTAAGATCTGCTATAAATAGATATATAATAGCTTAAATACTCTATCTTCTGAAGGTCTGAACTTGCTCTGATGTTTATTGAGTGAATAGTGAACTTTTTAACAGGTGAAAACAGCCTGAAAACCCAAATTTTCGTAAAACTCGCTTTTCGGTAGACTTTTAGAAGTTTTTCTAAAAATAAATATTGCCACAAGACTCAGCATGATCGATTACCTATAGTCCATCCGTTTTCAAGACTACCAATAGTCAGCGGGGGCTAGTTCTGGGACTCGCAAGAAATCCGACACAACAGCCGAGCCGCGGAAAACCAAGGTCTCGCTTGACTCTCATTTTGAAGAGGATACCTTGGGCTATCATAGCATGGAAGAAAATCAATACAATCCTATTGAAAATGTTTACACAAGGCCTGATTTTCCAAAGATCTCCTCGCTGTTTCTCTTTGGTTTTCAGTAAAAGCCGTTTTTCTCAGCAAGGAAAAAGAATTTTAAAAAGCTTTTAAAGCTGGTGTGTTGGCCAATCTGATGGTGTGTGAGTCATCGATATAGCCCTTCACCCAAAAAACTAGATAGGTTTACAAAATGAGGCATACCCAGTTGACAGCCGTTGGTTCGAACGTTTATGGGGGACGACTG